CTTCAACACATTACATTTCAAACTGACGTGTCACCCTTTTATTAATGCAAGTCTCCCATTTATTACATGTTTCATGATCATAGAACATGTCAAAGCACTTTACAGCCAAAGTAATTTTTGAAGGGCAGTCACTATTGTAGTGTAGAAATCTCATCACCCTGTACTGAAAGTATGATTTGGTCCACATCTTAGATCTCAAGGTACCTTTAATTAGTTTTTAACCAACACAACTCCAACCGCTGTGTTCATGTTTTTCCCATTCTTGCTTCCTAGGGGTCATACTTTATACTCATCAGCCACTGCTAACATGGGTACTTTATCTAATTGATTCTTTATTTCCTGAGCTGTCTTCTCTAAATCCACAGTTCATTCTAGTTTGGTACCAACTGGAAACTTAACCAGTTTGTGTCAAGTTTCTGAATCCAAGTCAGATATATGAATTAGAAGTAGTAATTCTTCCAACAATGAGCCTCGGAGCACCCCACTCACTCTCACAATCCAAGAACAGTTTGAGCTATAGAATTATTTTTGAGGCACTTTCACAATTAGATAGGTAAACATGACAGTCAATTTCAGCTCAGCAAGGCCTCATATATATCAATCAAATGAATGATTGAATTTTAGTGTAATCAGTTGAACACGAACCAGGGCAAAATAGAAATTGTCCACTCTACTCAAAAGAAAAATGCTACTGGTTACGTTTTATGTCCAAATGAACAGGAAAACAGCACCTCAAGTTAATAGCTTATCAAACATGAAGCACTTTGAGATGCATGGTCGAAATACACTTTACATATGTAACTTCTCTTTCTACAAAAGCATAGTGGGACCTGAGGGTATGTGTGTATTGATCTTTAACTGTGACAAGCAATGTTGAGAGTGTGATTAGCAAAGCATATGGGACTGTGGGCTTCATAGACAGAGACGTGGAGTACGAGAGCAGGGAAGTTATGCTAAATCTTTATACAGCTCTGGTTAGGTTATAATTAGAACACTGCATTCATTTCTGGTCATCACACTTTAGGATGGATGTGGAGAATCCATCCAGAATGTGCAGAGGCAATTTATCAGAATGGTTCTGGGAATGAGGGATTTTAGCTACATGGTTAGGTTGGAGAAGCTGAGATTCTGCTTGGAGCAAAGGATATTCAGAGGAGGTTTAATAGAGATGCACAACCTTATGTTAAAGGTAGACAAGGAAAAAATCATTTCCATCAGCTGATGGTACAGGGATGAGAATAAATTTAAAGGTTTTTGGCAAGACATGCAGGGGAAATATGATAAAAGATTTTTTTTCTTTTAACACAGAGTGATGATGGCTTGGAACTCATCAGCCATGAGGGTGCTGGAAGCAGAGGCAATCAATGACTTCAAAAGGAAATCGGATGAACACCTGAATGAAATAAACTTGGAGGGCAATGAGATAGACTGAAGGGTGCTCTTGTGATGCAGTGGTGGTATCCCTACTCCTGGACTGGGAGGCCTGGATCTAAGTCCCACGCACACCTGCTCCAGAGACGTGTAATAACATCTCTGAACAGGTTGATTAGAAAGATCTGTTAATTTAAAAAAAACCACGATAGACTGGAATGGCTCTTATAGCACAGTGGTAGTGTCCCTGTCCCTGGATCAGAGGTCTGGGTTCAAGTTCCATCTTCTCCAGAGGTAAAATAATAACATCTCTGAACAGGTTGATCGGAAACAAAAATTGAAGATAGACTGTCTTAATTGGCTTCATACATGTTTTACTGGTGACGGTTACCAAAAAAGTCAAGGTTGGGGCCCTCTTGTGGTGCAGGAGTAGTGTCCCTACCCCTGGAAAGAGAGTCCCAGGTTCAAGTGCCACCTGTTCCAGAGATGTATAATAATACCTCTGAACAGGTTGATTAGAAAAATGGGTCAATAAAAAACGTCACGGTGATTTGGTAGTTGGAAGGTGATAGCATAGGGTATTAAAAAAAAAACCAAGGATAAACTGGTATCTTGTGGCACATTGGAAGTGTCCCTACCTCTGGGCCAGAAGACCCAGGTGCAAGTCCCCTAGAAGTGTCAAAATATCTCTAAGCATGTTGATTTTTTAAAAAAAAAGAGGATAAACCAGCGAATGGGACCGGTGGATTGCTCCACAGAAAACTGGCAAAGTCACAATGGTCCAACCAACTTCATTCTGTGTCAGAGATTACATTATGACAAGGGTTCTCAAACAGTGGGTCATGACCAACTGAGGGATTGTGGGCCAAAATTTAGGAGTTGTAACTTCTGATGCAGCAGATGGCTACTGCAGAATTCTAACCAAGCACTAACAGCTGTAAGGACCCTTTAAATGTTGCAGTTCTCTTTTAATGGCCACGGCCTCATTGCCCAATCTTGTTGGGCTGAATCTTGTCTTTTAAAAAACCTAAGAGGAACATAAATACTCCTCACTTAAAAACCTTGTGGATTAAACAGTTTTCACCACTACCCCCATAGGTTTCTCACTGTCTTCTCTCTCACATCCCATCTCACAACCACATTGCCCACCATCCCAAAAAAACACCACCAGCACTCTCTAAGGTCTGGGGATCTCAACAACTTTCAAGCACCAAAATGGAGTCATGATGGGAGAAAGTTTGGAAAACACTACTGTGACAACAGAGCACATCACCTCCACTCCTTCCCTACTCAACTGGGGAGCAGAAAATTGGTCAAAAGTTTCAACTACAACTTATACTACTTACATTATGGTATTCGTGGACAAGTGAAGACTGAGTAAGCTTAACAACATTGGTCCATGCAGCTGACCTTCATACTCTGGGATACCACATTAAAATGGGTCACCTTAATTATGTATCAAGAAAGCAATCAGTGTTGAGGGAGCATCGAATCAGAGATAGTAGGAACTGCAGATGCTGGAGAATCCGAGACAACAAGGTGCAGGGCTGGATGAACACAGCCGGCCAAGCAGCATCATAGGAGCAGAGAGGCTGACGTTTCGGGTCTAGACCCTTCATCAGAAAAGGGGGAGGGGAAGGGGGTTTTGAAATAAATAGGGAGAGAGTGGGAGGCGGATAGAAGAGGGATAGAGGAGAGGATAGGTGGAGAGGAAACAAACAGGTCGAAGAGGCGGGGATGGGGCCAGGAAAGGTGAGTGTAGGTAGGGAGTTAGGAAGGGGATAGGTCAGTCCAGGGAGGACGGACAGGTCAAGGGGGCGGGATGAGGTTGGTCGGTAGGAGATGGAGGTGCGGCTTGAGGTGGGAGGAGGGGATAGGTGGGAGGAAAAACAGGTTAGGGAGGCAGGGACGAGTTGGACTGGTTTTGGGATGCGGTGGGGGGAGGGGAGATTTTGAAACTTGTGAAATCCACATTGATACCATTGGGCTGCAGGGTTCCCAAGCGGAATATGAGTTGCTGTTCCTGCAACCTTCGGGTGGCATCGTTGTGGCACTGCAGGAGGCCCAGGATGGACATGTCGTCTGAGGAATGGGAGGGGGAGTTGAAATGGTTCGCGACTGGGAGGTGCAGTTGTTTATTGCGAACCGAGCGTAGGTGTTGGGCAAAGCGGTCCCCGAGTCTCCGCTTGGTTTCCCCGATGTAGAGGAAGCCACACCAGGTACAGCGGATGCAGTATACCACATTGGCAGATGTGCAGGTGAACATCTGCTTGATGTGGAAAGTCTTCTTGGGGCCTGGGATGGGGGTGAGGGAGGAGGTATGGGGGCAGGTGTAGCACTTCCTGCGGTTGCAGGGAAAAGTGCCGGGTGTGGTGGAGCTGGAGGGGAAGGACCTTGGCTCTGTTTAGGTCCCATCCCCATTAGAACCAGTCCCACTGTCTGAGGAATCAAAAGTCCTCCCTCTTGCACTATCCCTCCAGTGAGATATTCAATCCTCTGCTCTGTAATTTCAATACTTGTATGCATGTGGCACATAGAATTATCTGGAGATTATAGCTTTGAGGTCATACTTGCTAGTTTGTCTTCAAGCTTCCTAAAATCTGCCCGCAGGATACCATTACCATGTTGCTAACGCTGCAAGGGACTATTTTCTTCTCCTTGCTGAGAAGTGCTCAGTAACATCCTTGACCACAATACCAGGGAGATACGTAACTGAGCTCATTGTGTTGCCATTAACTTACCCCTGGCTTCACTTCCCAGACGCACCATTACTCTCACTAGTATTCAGAACTGAATGCTGATTGAAGAACGAGGTGCACCTAGGGAACTCCGTATTATGTGTCTTATTCTCCTCAGCTATGTGTTCCCTCTCTAATTGCAAACGATTAAGCTGAAATATTCAGATAAATGCTCTCAATATAGTGCTTAGCTTCTGAAATACAATAATATCGTCAATATCGTCATTATTGTCAGTTGGCACTTGGACTATTTCAGCTGACTGAAGTTCCTGCACATTTCCTTTTGCTGGATATTAAAAACATCCTGGAATTCCCACAGGTCATAGAATGTGCATTCTACAGAACTGAGGGTCCTTGTCATGCCTTTATTTGTCAGAATATCTAAATTAACATAAATAAAAAACAATGAAAATTTTTAAAAATCTCACCAGTCAGCCTACTTTGTACTGAAGATATGTTTAGTTTTTGTAAACATTGCTCCCAATGCTGTTTCCACTTTTTCCACAAACTGCTGTAGCTATGCTTCCTTGTCTCCAGACTCGAAGCAGCCTGTCACTTAGTGGCTGTCTGCAACGTCTCCGCTTGATTTAAAAAAAAATTGTTTTCTTCTTTCTTCTCTTATTTGTTAATTTCTGGCACTATATTCCCTCAAGTTCACTTCTCTTTGATTCTCCACGTTTCTTGACTGTTGCTTTGTCGAACCTTTTCCCCTGCCCATTTACTTTCTGCAAGTTTTATCTGTTGGTCTCCAACACTGGTCCCTCAGTCTCTCTCTCTCTGTTTTCATTTCTTTAGAGACAAACTGCTACTTAACATGTGCTGTACTGTAGTAAAAGTACGGGACCAGCAGGAACCTGAATTTAGAAGAAAATTATTCAGTATTGTGTATGCAGTGCATTTCACGTGGTTTATTTTTCTTCCTCTGAAGTAAAGGATGGCAGAAACAGAAGAAGTTAATCCAGTGTTTTTGCAGCAACTGATGGAGCTAGGCATCTCTGAAGATAAAGCCAAGGAGGTGGGTGAATTAATTTATGGAATTATAGCACAGGAAAAGGCTATTCTCTTTTATTCTGCATGTGCTGCTGCTTGCTCTTCACTTTGGCTTTTTACTTGTCTTTTCCCTTTTAGTCATGCTGCTACAATCTTTCTTTAAAAATAATCATTCAGTTTTCTTTTAAACAGTGCTTCAAAATTGCTTTTGCAATGTGTTGTGCCAAAATGTTACCTCCACCTTAACTTTTTTTAATGCGTTCTGAGAAGTAGACATCACTGGGTGGACAAGCATTTATTGTCTATCCCTAGATGCCCTTGATAAGGTGGTGATCAACTTCTTGAATCACAGCACACATTTGCTGTAGGTAGATCTGTTGTTAGGGAAGCAGTTCCAGGGTTCTGACCCAGCGACACTGAAGGAATATATTTCCAAGCCAGGATGGTGAGTGGCTTGGAGGGGTCCTTGCAGGTGGTAATATTTCCATCCATCTGCTGCCCTTGCTTGTCTAGATGGTAATGGTCATGGGTTTGGAAGGTGTTGTTTAAGGAGCGTTGGTGAATTTCTTATAGATGGGGCACACTGGTGGTGAAGGGAATGAATGTTTGTGGATGTGGTGCCTATCAAGCTGATTGCTTTGTACTGGATGGTATCAAGCATCTAGGAATGGGGAGACTATTCCATCACATTTCTGAACCCTGCTTTGTAGATGTTGGACATGCTTTGGGAAGTCAGGAGGTGAGTAATTTGTTGCAAGACACCTAACTTCTGACCTTGTGCAGCCACAATATTTCTCTGCCTGGTCTAGTTCCATTTCTGGTCGTTGGTAAGTCCCCAGGATGTTTAAAGTGGGAAAGTCAGTGATGGTAATGCCATCGAATATCAAGAGGCAATGGTTAGATTCTGTCTTGTTGAGTTAGTTATTGCCTGGACTTGTCAGCCCAATCCTGGGTGTTGTCTAAGATTTACATAGTGCGTAGAAAATGGGAGCAGCAGTAGGCCCTTCAAGCCTGCTCCACTATTCAGTAATGATCAGCCAGATTTGTACCCTGTTCTGCTTTCTCCCCATACCCTTTGATCCCTTTAGCCCTAAGAACTACATACAGCTCCTCCTCAACCAATTTCTGTGGCAGTGAATTCTATAGACTCGCCTCTCAAGGAATTCTCTGTGTCTTGCTACATTTGGACATGGACTGCTTCAGTTAATATAGTGACATCCCTGAGTCAATGCTCCTTATTCCTAATTTACCAAACAATGCAAACTATCTTGCACTATTTATTTTAAAAAAAAAAACATTTTTCATACCCTTCTTAGACATTCTAATGACATTTTGATCATCAAGCGCTTGTTCATCTTCTCAAAAGTCTCCAAAAGACCATAAGATAAAGCAGCAGAATTAAGCCATTCGACCCACCAGGTCTGCTATGCTGTTCGACGATGATTGATATGTTTCTTAACCCCATTATCCTGCCTGCTCCCTGTAACCCTTGATCCCTTTACCAATCAAGAACCTATCTATCTTTGTCTTAAATACACTCAATGACTTGGCCTCTACAGCTCTGTCTGGCAATGAGGTCCACAAATTAATGCTCTGGCTGAAAAAACTTCCCCTCAACTTAGTTCTAGAGGGTTGTTTCTTCACGCTGAGGCTGTGCCCTCAGGTCCCAGTCTCCTACTAATAGGAACATCTTTCCCATGCCCACTCTATCCACACCTCTCAGTATTGTGTAAGTTTCAATCAGATTGCCCCCTCATCCTTTTATACTCTATCACGTACAGACCCAGGGTCCTATGACAAGCCCTTCATTCTCAGGGTCATTTTTTTAAACCTCCTCCAAAAGCCAACACATTCTTCCTTAAATACAGAGCCCAAAACTGCTCACAATACTCCAGATACAGGCTGACCAAAGCCTTATACAGCCTCAGCAGTATATCTCTGCCCTTGTACTCTAGTCCTCTTAAATGAATGCTAATATTGTATTTGCCTTCCTACCTGCTAACTGAACCTGCACGTCAACTTTAAGAGAATCCTGATCTAGGACACTCCAACTCCCTTTGTCCTTCAGATTTTTGAAACCTTTCCCTATTAGAAAATAGACTATGTCTCCATTCTTCCTGCCAAAGTGCATAACTTCACTTTCCCACTTGAATTCCATCTGCCACTACTTTGTCGCCTCCCCACCTCCTCAACACTGCCTGACCCGCTGCCTATCTTTGTGTCATCTGCAAATTTAGTAACAAAGCCCTCAGTTCCTTCGTCCATATCTTTTCGTATATCATGAATTATTGTTGTCCCAACATGGACACCTGTGGAACTCCACTAGTTACTGGCTGCCATCCTGAAATGACCCCTTTAATTCTACACTCTCCTTATCTGCTAGTAAGCCAATCTTCTATTCATGCCAGTACCTATCCCTAACACAAGGCACTGTTGTCTGATTTAGCATCCTCCTGTGTGGCACCATGTCAGAGGCCTTCTGGAAATCCAAATAGATCATGTCCACTGGCTCTTCTTTGTCTAACTTGCTTGTTACCTCCTCAAAGAATTCTAGCCCATTTGTCAGGCATGACCTCTCCTTGATGGAGCCATGCTGACTCAGCCCTGTTTTACAATGCACTTCTAAGTACTCTGCAATCTCATCCTTAATAATAGAATCTAAAATCTTATAAATGACAAGGTCAGGCTAACTGGCCTGTAGTTTCCTATCTACTGCCTTCCTCCCTCCCTTAAACAGGGGTGTTACATTAGCCATTTTCTGGTCCTATGAGACCTTCCCTGACTCCAGTGATTCCTGAAATATCACCATCACTGCTTCTACAATCTGCTCAGCTGTTTCCTTCAGAACTCTGGGGTGTAGTCTATCTGGTCTGGGTGATTTATCCACCTCCAGACCTTTCAGCTTCCCCAGCATCTTCTCCTTACCACTGCCCCCTGACTTCCTTGAAGTTTTGGTATTCTGCTGGTGTCTTCCAATGTCAAAACTAATACAAAGTACCTCTTCAGTTTCTCCACCATTTCTTTGTTCCCCAATACTTCTTCTCCAGCCTCATCTTCAAGCGGTCCAATGCCCACTCTTGCCTCTCTCTTACCTTTTAGATATCTTAAAAAAACTGTTGCAATCCTCTTTTACATTACTAGCTAGCTTACTCTCATATTTTATCTTATCCCCTTTTTTTTTAAGTTATCCTCTGTTGGCTTTTAAAGACTTCCCAATTCTCTGGCTTCCCAGTAATCTTCACCACACTGTATGCTTTTTCTTTTGCTTTTATGCTGTTCCTTATCAGCCATGGTTGCCTCATCCTCGTCTTAATATGTTTCTTCTTCCTAGGGATGAATTTCTGCTGTGGCTCCCCAATTACCCCAGAAACTCCTACCATTGCTCCTCCACCATCTTCCCTGCTAGGCTCCCCTTGCAATCAACTCTGGTCAGCTCCTCCCTCATGTCTTTGTAGTTACCTTTACTCAATTGTAATACTGTTACATTTAATTCCAGTTTTGCCCTCTCAACCTGCAGGGCGAATGCTATCATTTTATGTTCACTATCCCCTGGCAGTTCCTTCACGTTAACTGCCTAATCCAGTCTGCCTAATTACACATCACCAAATCCCAGCATTGCCTATTCCCAAGTGGGCTCTACCACACGCTATTCTAAATAAAATCTCGTGGACATTCCACAAATTCCTTTTCTCAAGATCTGCTACCAGTCTGATTTTCTCAGTCCACCTGCATATTGAAGTTGCCTACGATTAGATTCTTTATCAAATGTTGCTTTGTGAACCTGGTGTGTGGTGCCTGGGCATGTTTTATTACATTAAAAACACTACAGAAATATATAGCAAGTGCTGGAGAAACTCAGGTCTGAAACTGTCTGCAGGTGAAAAGTGAGTGTTATACTATAGAAAAAGGGTAAGTGAAACAGGGACAATGTCAAGGAAGGTTAGAGGGAGATTAGATATCACAAGTGTCATAGAAATATAAGTTGTTGTTTTAAAGCCTTCCATCTTAACCATAAACCTTTGTACTCTTTCTTTCAGGGTTCTAATGTCCACCCTATTCTGGGATGTCCATAATATTTCTATCCTCCCATTGTATCCTAACTAATTTTGTGTACAAGTTCATTATCGCCTGCTTTCTCATTCAGTGTCCCTATGTAAAATGTCCATCATACCCTTTGCCTTTTTTCATTTGGAATTTTTGAAATTGCACTATGGCTGTGTTTTGTGTTGTTCTTGTTTTGAAGGTTCACCTATTTGTTTTTGGAGTTTGTGGTGAAAGCATTTCACAGCATGGCTGTTGGTAGCTGAAGTAACCGTGCCAGTTTAACATTTTGGTTACCCATTCTATATGAGATGATCAATAAGAATTTGCATTTTAACGTCATCAGTAAAGTTTTGTATTTGGTGATCTGGATGTAGTATCCTGCAGTTAAATCAGTTTTCATTCTGTACTCACCTGTGTGGTTTGACAAGAAGGAAGAGTGACGTTATACCTGGGGTGACTGAAAATGTTCATTTTATATTAATCTTTGCTCTTATTAGGGCTAACCAATCAATAAGTTGTACTAACAGCATCTATGAGAGAACAAGAACAAAACACAAAGGTCAGTACAGCACAGGAAGAGGCCCTTCGGCCCTCCAAAGCTGCGCCAACACATTTTGCCCTTCCATACTAAAACTGTCTTCACTTACAGGATCCGTATCCCTCTATTCCTTTCTTATTCATGCTATTGTGTCTGCTTCCACCACCTCCTCCGGCAACACATTCCAGGTACTCGCCACCCTTTGTGTGAAAAAACTTACCTCGCACATGTCTTTTAAATTCCTCCCTTGCACCTTGAACCTGTGTCCCTAGTAATTGACCCCTCCATCCTGGGGAAAAGGCCTCATACTTTCTACTCTAATCATGCCCTCAAAATCTTGTAAACTTTTAGTAGGTTGCTCCTCAACCTCCTGCATTCCAGTCTATCCAACCTTTCTTCACCGCTAAAATCCCCCATGCCAGGCAACATCCTGGTAAATATTTTCTGTACCCTCTCCAAAGCATCCACACTCTTCTGGTAGTGTGGTGACCAGAACTGTACGCAATATTCCAAGTGTGGCTTAACTAAAGTTCTGTAAAGCTGCACATAACTTGCCTATCCTTATACTTAATGCCCCTTCCAATGAAGGCAAGCATGCCATAAGCCTTTTTTACTACCTTATCTACCTGCACTGCCACCTTCAGTGATCTGTGGACCTGCACACCCAGATCCTTCTGCATAGCTCCTGAGGGTTCTGCCATTCGCCGTATAACTTCCACCTGTACTTGACCTTCCAAAATGCATCACCTCACATTTGTCCGGGAACTTCATCTATCATTTTTCTGCCCATGCCTCCAATTGATCCATAGCCTGCTGTATCCTCTGACAATCCCCCTCACTATCCCGCAACTCCACCAATCTTTGTATCGTCTGCAAACTTACTAATTAGACCAGCTACGTTTTCCTTCAAATCATTTACGTAGATCACAAACAGCAGAGGTCCCAGCACTGATCCTTGTGGAACACCACTATTCCCAGTCCTCCATTCCGAAAAGCATCCTTCCACCGCTACCCTCTGTCTCCTATGACTAAGCCAGTTCTGTAACCATCTTGCCAGCTCACCCCAATACCATGTGACTTCATTTCTTGATGTTTCATTTCTTAGGATATGGTGGCTGTAGAAAGATGCAGCAGAAGGATGTTGAGGAAACCATTGTTGTGTTGGCCGGAGGTGCAGAATAATGATATTAGGTCATCATTTTTCTGATACATTAGTTGAAAGTGATGAGATTTGTTTTCTCGAGTCTTGTGTAGAAGAGAATTTGTAAGTTTCAGCTTGGTTCCATTTTGCAATTTTGTCTTTTGAGTTAGACTTTTTTGTCTTGAAGTGCATACCTTGAATAAGTGCAGCATCTAGACTGGCATTCCAATGCAGGAACATGTGAAACATGAGCTGAAGACTTTGCCTGTCAGGCTAAGTGGATGTAAAAATTCCACGGCTTTATTCAAAGGGTTACTTGGAAATTTCTCCCACTTCTGGCCAAACTTCCTTCCTTGTCCAGCTTCAGCAGAGTATTTGGTCATTTGTTTCATAGTAGAACTGTGTAATTGCACTGTCCTATTACTATTATTAATTTCACCTTATAAAAATATACTTCATTGGCTGTGAAGCACTTTGGATTTCCCTGAGAATGCAATAATGTGCATATAAATGACAGTTCTTTATTTCAATAAAAATATTTTTTCCCTCCTGGGACAAAGTAGTATGCCTTTGTTTTGTGTCTTGCTAAATTGCTTTGACAGTTTTGGAGGCATTTTCTCATGGACAGAGTTTCTAGTATTTCTACCGCATTTTACATTTGCTATTGATCTAAGGGATTCTTCATACAATCTTCACCCCATCATGTGACTGTTTGTGTGCTCATTGTAACTGCCATGCTGAAATTTCTTTCACTCCATAGTAGCTAATTTGTCTTTCCTTTTCTTGTTCACAGGCTCTGATTAAAACTGGGAATCAGTCCAGTGATTCTGCTGCTCTGTTTTACTTCAGTGAACTTGAAGTAAGGACCATATTGAAGATGTTTTTCACAAAATGCAGTCACCAGAGATCAGTCTGTACAGCAAGAAATTAAAGCTATAAATGTGATATTTTTAAAAATGTATGCCTTTTCAAATCCTGCATGTTTTAACATTATTTTGTCAGCATTCTATGTTAAATGTTCTCATTTGATATTAGCAAAGCATTCTAAGCAGCAGGAGGATTTGAGAACATCCATTTTGCTTGTGTAAATGTGGGATCTTGAGCTTGTTCTGTAGCTGCATTTATTACATTCCAGCACAGACTGAAACCTATTTACCTGTGCCCTTCCTATGGTAACGGGTGACTTGGACTTTGTTTCATGGTTGCTATAGTTTTCTGGGACTTAATTCTAGGGTTTTCTATGATTTTTGACTTCTTAAAAAATTTCACTTCCTCCCCACTTGCCTTTCTAGTGACTTCTCATAGATTGTTGGAGTATGAAATTCTGATTTTCAGTTTGCAGGCTTTTTTTTGATCTCCATTTCATTCCTGCTTCCTGTCACACCCCAATTGCAAAATACAATAGAGCCTATTATAGCAGAAGAATGTCTGACTTGCTCTTTCAAAATTGGATCTGACTTATGAGGTTCAGTGATGTTGGTCTCTCCCAAAAATGAATCTTGTGTTTCCTAACTTACTCTCTACTCCCTGTCCCCGCATTATTTTCAGCCTTCAGACAAACAGACTGATTTAACACTTTAGTGTGATAAGCCAGGTTATAAACCATTAAGAGGATTTATTTTTCAGTTAGGTGGGACTTGAACCTAGGCCTTCTGATACAACCACTGCACCTCAAGACCACTCTGAGAGTTGCTGTACGATTGCCAATTAACCCTTAAACCTTTCAATTCAACTTTATATTAGAAACATAGTTATAATTTAAACCAAATATTCTTTCTGGTTAAAATTGTCAATAATCTACAGTTGTGATATTTACATTACTGCATTTGTTAAATGAATGCCATGTTAATAGCAATTCTATTTTTTTCAGATGTTTTCTGGATTTGAGGTTGGTGGATCTGTGAATGATGTATATAAGATGGTGTTTGTTGTGAACATGGAATTGACCATGGGAGTTGGAAAGGTATAAAACTCTTTATGATTTCATCCAAAAGAAAAGCATGAACCACATTAAAATAAACCCCTTATTAATGTTTTGTAATTGAAAAACTTAAAGATGTAAATATTAAACTTTTCATTGTAAGTTTAAAATGTCCTTGAGAGAGCATATTGGGAATGAGCATTAGATTCTGCTCATTAGATTCTGAGAGTCAATATGACAGATGTGGTGCTTAATCCATTGTACTTGCCACACACATTGTCTCGTGAATAGGGCTCTGGCTGCAAACTAAATTAAATTCTTTATCTGTAGTCTCCTTACTCACTTGGAGCTAAAACAATAGCCATTTGAGGTTAGCAGAATTTCACTCTGTTTGAAATAGTAGATTTTTAAAAATTAATTTTATTTATTAGAATCAAAATACAAGTCTAACTTAACACCTTTTCATTAGAGTATGAGGGCTTGTAAACATGATACTCTGTGATTAATCCCAGACCTCCATGTGAGTATGCGAGTAGATGTTTCTTTTTTCTATTGAAAGATGAAGCAACTCTTTAGTAAGGCTTAAGATCAACCTTAAATGAATTGTTTTTCTCTCTGTTCTCTCCCATTTCATTTTCTTCACCCACTGGACACTATCAATGATGCAAAGAAAAGAAACCCAATGCTGAAATACAGATCGCTGAAAAGACATGATACGTTAATGGGTTTGTTTAGACCCTTAGTCTTAAATTGTAGACATGCAGGAATGTATATGACCAACTTCCTCTGTGGGGCCCCCAGCTTCAAAATATTCTGCTTCATCTTTCTAGACTTTTATGTCATCATACTGTTTTTGTTCCATTTTAACTAGAGGATATAACTGGAATGTACAGCAGTGCTGCAGATGTGTGTGCCACATATCTGGCACTATTTTGACATGATGTATGTGAACTACCCATTTAATAAAATGTTGCTCTAGTTTATATACATTAAATTCTAAACTCCTAAAGGATGCATATAATTGTGATTTAAATCGTAAAAGTTAGCTTTAGAAGTCTCAGTTTTTAAATCATTTTATGCTCTTCCAGAGAAAAACGTTGATTTTTTTTTCCCAGTTTGAAATTGTGGGAAATATGTGGCTTGCATATTTTTGATAAATTGCCAAAGTGGGATGGAAAATCATTGTTAAAACTGTGAATTGTTCAGTTATTGCACTGCTGAAGATTTGAAAATCATTGGATGAAATTTAAATTTTAAATTCTGGACTGAAATAAGGTGCGATGCACCTCTCTTCATACCATAATTGTTTGGATGCAGTAATAGTGACTGATGAATGGAGTAACTCCCATGTATAGAGTGACACTGTTGGCTTTGTGCTAAAAGATTAATCCTAAGCCTTGTGAAATATCCTATTCGGACCATTATGTCTGGTGATTTCCTTGACCAAAATGCATTTTATGATTGCATTGCTGAAGTATGTTTTACGCAGTAACAATTTAAGGCAATATTTATTCATATTTTATACTGTTAAAATTCCTCTGACTTAGGCTGTTGATGTTGCTGATAAGTGATTTGGATCAAAAACATTTCTGTTACGAGGTTAGCTAGCAGTTAGATTTATTTTTATTTATTCTATGGAAATTGGCAAGGTTGCACTCACTGCCCATCCCTTAATAACTACAATACCTGGAGTCATAGAGTCATACAGCATGGAAACAGTCCCTTTGGTCCAACTCGTCCATGATATTCTTGTAGTGATGATCGTTCCATAAAGATGTCTGCTGGGATATAGTGGACCTTAGCAATTGGTAAGAATTCCTTTTCCTGATTGATTGCTGTCCAGGGACCTGTGTTGTCACTTTGTTATAGTTGACATCAGGTGAAGATGGGATCGAACTTGGCTGCAGGTTTTAACAGTGGACTGTTAACACTGTGTAGGCTCATGCATAAATAACTTCAATATCTTTGCTGTTCCTTCATTGTTGCTGGGTCACAAAGCCTGAAACTCCTGACTGAATGTCATTATGTAAGTACTTTTACCACATGGCTTGTGGCGATTCAACAGTACTCGCAAACCTGTAGTTAAGGAATCGGCAGTAAATGCTGGGTTGGAAGTGATATGCACGTCCTGAAGAATGATTTAAAATGAATGATTTTAAAGGAACAATTGGTGTGACAAATGAGAACTTTAGAAATTATTGGGGGCAAAGGGAGGGGACAAGTCATTAAAAACATAACTACTTGAAAGCAACTTAATTGGTCAGCATTCTAAGTTTGTTTTTAGTCTAGGCCAGTGAGTCTCATTGAAGCAGTTCGCTCAAGGTGTGTACAATTCTGCAGGTTGCAGCGCAGGTGGCCCATGCTGCTGTTGGTCTGTATCAGGTGATGTTGGAGGAGTCCCACAACTTGCGACAGATGTTGACAACATGGGACAATGATGGGTGAGTAATAATGGCGACAAATATGGGCTTGTCTAATAGACATTATTTGAATGATTGTGTGAAACATACTCATTGTGCCTAATATAGGAAGGAGAAAAGAAAGGTTTGTTTTTAGATGCTTTAATAGAGCTATGGTACCAGGTTTTTGGAAAGTGTGAATCAGCTAACAAAGAATAAAATCTTGTTTTTGTAAAATTAATATAATCTATTTAAAATTAATATGTGCACAAAGAAATATTACTAATTGATATTGTCTAGTTTACATTAAATCCAAATGGAGAACCCCACCAGTATTAACATACTTCCTCATTTGTCACTAGAGGGCGCTTTGAAATAATGGGAACCATGTTTTGCGGTCCGTCACTAGCAAAAGGCGGAGCAAATGACAAGCTCAGCCTCAATTGTTGATGAGAACCCGACTGACTCAGTCAGATCTCCATGTACAAAATATTGTTAAACACATTTATAGCAGACACTTGTTTTTGTACCCTTTTATGAGATGTTGACTGAATTTGAAGCATCTTATAATTAATTTCCAGGAATAATTAACTAACAACCTTGCAGTATGCTCTGTAGTATTACAGCTGTGTTGTTTGCCAGTCTGGAGAGAACGTTATTTCGAGCAGAGCAATATTTCAGCAACCTGTTAACTGTCACAAAGTAACAGGATGTTATTGATGTGGGATTAAGGGATGCAATTTTCTTTGCTTGCAAGGAAGGAAATCTAATTCACTAACACTGCAAATGTTACTATCACAGCATCTACCACATGAACCAATCTACTAAAGCATTCTAGCAATGTGAATGATGCTGAAAAAGACATGAGATCATTGAAAACCAAGATAACTCCTTTCATCCATAATTAGAGACCTAATAAATTGCATCCAAAAGTTATACATGCAAGCTACGTTCTCTGAACTTTCACTAGTGGCTTTTTAAGTCATAGAGAAGTTGATATAATTTTGTTTTATATTTGAAAGAGGAATTTTAGTCCCATTGTTATTGAACTAAACGCTGTATTTGGCTGATAGAATAATACAGAATCTTCACATTTTGAGAAAGTCTTTGGATCTAAAGGAAGCTCAAGAAAGATTGACCCTGTACACATCTGATGGACTCATTTAAGGTGAACAGAGTGCAACATTTTGGGGTCTTGATTATTCTCTCCTTGGGTGGTTCTTTACTCTCATGTGTTGCTTATTCTTTCTATGGATGACTATATAAACCAGAATATGAATTCTGTTTTTCTGCAAGCTTGGTGTATAAAATCAACAAGGTGACATGACAGCAGATGAGGTGTTGTACTGTTCCTTTTGTCGTGTTTTCTCCAACTGAAGAAAGAGAAGCAAAACTGTTTAAGTGACAGTTGTTGCATCTGGACAATAGTAATTGTTTCTCCTCTTCCAAGTGAATTTTTCTTTTAGCTTCTTGTATATATTTGCTAATTATCCATTTTTTTCAGAGGTAAGAAGATAGTATTGAGAGGGCAGAGCACTGAACACATCTTAGAGCTTCAAGAACAGGCTTGTCAACTGAAGCTGCCAAACTTTCTTGTACAGGATGCTGGAAAAACCCAGGTAAACAATATTGTTTCTTTCAGAGGACTATAAACTTAACTTTCTCACAACTTGGAGTCACAAGTAATGAAATTTTGGATTGCATACACAAGTTTTGTGACATATTATTCTGTCAGTTCTATTTTATAATGTGGCTGTTTCCATGTTAATATATTTCCATATCACCCAAGTGATCATTCTACATATACGGGCTTGGAAAATGAATTGCTGGCTGCCAACTTAACACGAGGTGTATCAGACCCCAGCGAACAAAGGTCTTCACTGAACCACAGTTAGGTGTAGGTGACTGCCTTTTAAAGTTCAGAGATATTGGAGACTATCTGTAGGGCTGCCTGAACTGATATCAATTACTTCAGTATAACTCAGTATTGCACCATATACTGCTTTTATGCATGATAAACATTTGAGAAATAGGTTGAATATGCTGATAAATAGACTGAAAATATAATGAATTCCAAATTTGGTAACTAGTCTCTTACTGAGGTAATTGATCTCAACTAGGATGGTAGTTACAAATAATAATTGAAAATGCTGGAGAAAGTCAGCAGATCTGGCAGCATCTGTGGAGTGAGAAAGAAAAATAACATTTTGACATTAAATGTGGCTCTTCTTCAGAACTGAAGGGGACTGGACAATTATAGTTTTTGCGCTGTTGTCAAACGGGTTGAAAGGATAAGTTGAACAGATGGTTAGGGTACTGAGAGTAAAAGACAAAGGGGGTGCCAGTGGTCGTAGAGGGAAGATAAAGATGTTAAATAAATGCTAATGTAGGTGTGAATAGTTAAATATAAATGAGCTTTGCTGAGAGCAAACACTTGCAAAACAAGACGCTGGGTGGAAGTGAAGGGGGAAATCAAATGGCTTTGAAATTGTTGAATCCAGTGTTGAATCTTGTAGGCTATAAAGTGCCGCACTAAAAAATGAAATGCTTGAGTTGAACTTTGCCAAACACTGCAGGAGACCCGAGACATAAATGTTAGCATGAGAGCAAGATGGTGTATCGAAGTGGCAAACAACTGGGAAGTCTGGGTCATTCTTTTGGACGCAAGCAAGAGTGTAACACAAAACGCTGACCCAGTCTGCATTTGGTCTTGCTAATTTAGCACACACTGCATTATGAGCAGAACATACTGTAGACTAGATTGAATGAAGTACAAGTACACTATTGCTTTAGCTGGAAGGTGTGTTTGCGATCTTGGACAGTGAGGAGGGCAGAGGGACAAAAGAGCAAGTGTTACATGTTCTGCGATTGCATGGGAAAGTGCTGTGGGGACTGAGGAGTGGACCAGAGTATCACAGAGGGAAAGGGCCCTGCAGAATGCTGATGAGAGGGGACTGAAAGGAAAGCTGTATTCAGAAATGGTAGAGGATACTTTGAATGCAGAGGCTGGTGGGGTGAAAAATTAAGACAAGGAAAACTTTATTGTATTGGAAAGGAGGGGACGGGATGAGGGCAGAAGTGCAAGAAATGGGTTGGACACAGCTGGGATCCCTATCAACCATGGTGGGTGGGGAGTATCCTCGTTTAAAGAAAATGACATATAGCAGGCATTCCTGTGGATGGTGGCAACATTGAAACAGATGCATTGGAGACCAGAGAAACTGGGAGAATGGATAGGAAAGATATTGTTAAACTTGAGACGTTCGGAAAAGATTTACAGGAACGTTGCCAGGATTGGAGGGTTTGAGCTATAGGGAGAGGCTGAATTGGCTGGGGATTTTTCCATGGAGCATCGGAGGCTGAGTGGTGACCTTATAGAGGTTTGTGAAATCACGAGGGGCATGATAGGGTGATTAGCCAAGGTGGGGAGTCCTAGAGGGCATAGGTTTAAGATGAGGGAAAATATTTAAAAGGGACCTGAGTGGCAACTTTTAGATGGCAGGGGAAGTCCAGAGTTAGGCTCAGGTGATACCCTTTTACACCACAGGTAGAAAAACGTGCTGATATTTATTTTCTTGGCGCAGCTGAATAATGACCACGTTGACAATATACCAGAGTGTGATTAAGGATACTGGACTCCTAGTTTATTTGACACAGGGGGAAAGTTGTCGATAGAGATGTGTTTTCAACATCTTGGTATATGTCTATGCCCGTGATGGATAACCACCTTATTTTCTTAATCAGATTGCTGCTGGATCACGCACAGTCTTGGCAATCATGGGTGAGGAGAAGCTGGTCAATCAGGTTACTGGAAGTCTTCAGCTCTTGTGACACAAACAACTAATATTGGCTTTTACAGAAGAGTTGACTGTTTGAGGCAGTAATAAATGAAAACAACTATGATATGCACTGGAAACCTGCTTGGTAAATGGATATACCAAATTCATGACATCACATAATTGTATTGCTGATTTAAAATTAATTTTATTAACTGCTGTGTTTGCTTCAAAGTTTAAAGGTTAAAATGCTGCCTTCCAAACAACATAACCTTTAGTTCAAAGATGATCTCATGTGTGGCATCAGTATTCGACTTCTGGATGGAATGCCTCAAGTCATCATATTTATAAGTGAGGAAGAAGCAACTGACCAGTGAATGAATTGGCTTTGTCAAATCAAAAGCAGTAAATTAATGACTTAGTTTTCCACTAATTTTGGAGACATTGGGATCAGTATCCCGGATCCATTCATGCTTGACCTGGATGACTTAGGTTAACATACTAAGGATCCTTGAAGAGGCGAGTAGCATGAACGATGACCCAAATGAACTATTTCTCTCAAAATGTGAGCACTCTGTATAAATTCTGTTAATGTGTACTGTACACTCTGCTTCAATTGTTCTACAAATTGTCTGGTAGTTATACCATTCAGGACAGGTATGTCTTAGAAATTTCACATTCTGTTCAGACCGGTCTTCAGTGAGATTGGTGCAGAACTGAGCATGTGTATCAGATACTATATTAGAATCCAGCAGTTGGTATTTACAAGTTGATAAATACGACTTTGTATTTGATTTCTACTTTTTGAAGAACTAGAAGTTACATATTAAATTTCTAAACGGTGTTGCTTCATTAACTTTGATGGGGAAAGATACTTCCAGCTGATTGATTGATTGCTTTTATTATCATCCTAGCTCCATGCCCCATACATTGGACTCATTATACTCTGCTTGAAGCTGGCGTCACGTGAGCAGACAGTTGTGTGCTCAGTTATGTAGTATTATAACCTGTTGCAGGTATAAATATTATTATACATTGTGGCAGAACTTGGATTCTGTGCCTGTTTCAGTGAACTTCCCAACTGTACTTTTAGGTTATTACCAAAATTCTGGTATTTCTACAAGTATTAGTGATTTAAATACTTTGAAACTATTTGCAATCTCCATTGTAACTGACTCCTTTTCAATTATTTTATATACTTGACTGTATGGTTGACTAGTACTTATTTAATTACCACTGATATGTACAAGTGACAAGAAAGAAATGATACCATTAACATGCATAGTTTCCAGGAACGTATTCATTCGACAGTTGTAATGTGATTTAACCTGGATAATGCAGTTATTTCCCTGAAAACTTAATCAACTTTTTAGCTCATTGTTTCAAAACCTGCATTATAGTTTGTCATATACCAACAATACCACTAAGTAAACTTTAATCCCACCTTTGAGTAAAATGCTTAATTAAATAGCTTCTTCCAAGAACATAAAAGAAAATTGTTAACAGTTAACCCAAGCTACATTGCTAGTGGTGTCAGTTAATGGATGATCAGTCATACACTTGGTTAACACATTTTGCAGTCATCTTGCTGGGAAGAAAATGTAATTCACAAGAGGTTACTCTCACATATCCTTAACTTAAACTGAATTATTTAAACCAGTGCTTGTTATCAAGAATTTTATTAGAGCAATAGAAAGCTAATTCTTTATTATCGGATGGTTTTTTGGTTGCAGTTTGTTTGAGCACTGATAGGAGACGTGTATTGGTAGGAATTTCAATCTGGCAACACAACTGATCTTGCATCTGGGATTATTTAAATGCAGAATTACTGTAATACACTGAGATAGTAGGAACTGCAGATGCTGGAGAATCTGAGATAACAAGGTGTAGAGCTGGATGAACACAGCAGGAAGGCTGACGTTTCAGGCCTGGACCCTTCAGAAATTTCTGAAGAAGGGTCTAGGCCCGAAACGTCAGCCTTCCTGCTCCTCTGATGCTGCTTGGCCTGCTGTGTTCAACCAGCCCTCTACTGTAATATACTGTGCCTTTTATACCAGGTGATCTGTTGGTAAAGGTAATGACTACTTCTCCAAAAAGTGTTTGTAACGGAAAAAGTATTCGGGTAGGATTTGCCTGCTATTCACGATTGGGCAGTCTTCTGTGACTCACCGGCAACTGTAAAGCTTAGTTGCTATGGCACTGTTGTAGAGTTCAGATTCCCAGCCATTGTACAATAATACTCAACATGAAGTTGGCAAAACTGTTAGCACTGTGCACTTCAGCCATAGCACAAACTTTGCAGTCTATATTCTCATAATTGCAATCATGTTAAGAGAATCTGTATTAAAAAAAAACAAACTTGTTTTGGGCATGATGGTAAAATCTGAACGATCTACAAGCATAGCGGTCCAGGCAACAACCAGCATTGCTAGAAAAGCTCAGCAAGTCTGGTAGCATCTGTGAAGGAAAATCAGAGTTAACGTTTCAGGTCCAGTGACCCTTTCTCAGAACTGAGAACCCAAAACGTTAACTCTGATTTTCTCTCCACATATGCTGCCAGACCTGCTGAGCTTTTCCAGCAACTTCTGTTTTTGTTCCTGATTTATAGCATCTGCAGTTCTTTTGATTTTTATTTAGCTTTTCTACCTTCCCATTTTTTTTCTTGCATTATATACAATAAAGGGAAATGAGCATTTAACTATTAGTTTTACATATTATAATCTGTAAAGATGAAGTTCTCAACTAGATCCATACAGTTAAATGGAGAAGATTATATTTCTACCTTCCAGCTCTTAATTGTGTAAAATCAATTTAAGGCAAATTCAAGAATTAATAAGTGCTTAGAGAACTTCCAGGTAGATAGCATTGTTTCAGAAATTCCAGCAAGAAACTGAACTCATTTGAAGAGGATAAAACTAACAAACAGAAAATGAACTCTCTCAGCATGTCTATCTTAATTCAGTTGCTGCAGAATTGCTTAGCACAATAGTATTTGAAAATGATACATCCAGGAAATTGCAAAACATGTTGCAACAGCAGGGAGGGGCATGAACGTAATTTGATTTTCCCTTTTGTATTACTATTGTGGAAGGTTCAGCTTTAATAAGCATTACATATCAGTAAAATTTTATTGTGCAAAAAGAATTTCATAAGGTTACTTATACTAGGTCAGATGAATTACAAGATGTTCATGACAATAGAGTATCTTTAGTCAGTTTTTTATGCCAATTTCTGCAGCACTCTGGAAATATTCTTAGCATGCAACAGTAATATTGCATTTCTCAGTACTCATGCTAGCTCATGAATGGAATGAGAATTACAACATATGCAATGGAAATATCGGTTTAAAAATCACAAATAAAAACCAAAAGAACTGCAGATGTTGTAAATCAGGAACAAAATCAAAAATGCTGCAAAGGCTCAGCAGGTCTGGCAGCATCTGTGAAGGAAAAAAAAGTTAGTGTTTTGGATCTGGTGACCCTTCCTCAGAACAGTTCTGAGGAAAGGTCACCGGACCCAAAACATTAGCTCTGTTTTTTTCCCTTCACAGATGCTGCCAGACCTGCTGAGCCTCTCCAGCATTTTTGATTTTGTTCTTGTTCAAAAAAGTCACAATCTGCTAATGTCCAGAAAATATACTGCTGGAGAATGTTTGTTCGCTGCTCAATAAAAGGGGTCTCTGTACACACCCTCCTTCAGTGAGCGTCCATTTCTGCTAGACAGACTGGATCTATAGCTCATTTAAAACATTGAAACTAATATCAACCAAGTTTTCTCCTTTCCTTTAAGAACTCAAAAGTCAAATTGCAGCGACTAGGCTTGAAATACAAATGGTAACGTGGGATATTACAAAGGTGTAATTTACTTAATAGTAGCATGACCATAATTATCTTACAGGAGGGCTCAAGTTAGAGACAAAAAGGAGAAAAAAAAAAGGTGTTATAGAGACTTAACAGGTTAGGAAGCAGCAGGAGAGAAATAATTAAATCAAATGCTCACATATTACTAAGTGTTCCTTAACAACGATGTGGCCAGACAACTGAGCCAGTCAATGGTTACTAGGCCTTAAATGTTGAAGAATTATTCCTACTACAAGTACTTAATGATAAAAGGCCACAAACATGAACAGTTACCCAGTTTCTCCACTACATGTTGCAGACCAGCTGAGCATTCCCAGCTTTCATTTCAGATTGAGTATTTTGATAAATGCGGTAGCCATGATTGCTGAGCCCAGAATGCCAGGTTCATAACTATCTATTTCTCGAAGGAGCCACTTTTCCAAATGTTGAAATTTAAAACGTTCAGGCAAATTCTGTTAGCATTACGTGCATGCTAACTTAGTGAAAACAAGAGTGGGTGGAAGAGAAAGAGGGTCAGAAGAAGTGTTCCTTAATCACGTAAAATGTCTTATTTTCGCCAAAGACAGGACTAGGTAACTCAACCGACAACCAGGTGGTGACAAAGACATTTATTCTTTCTGCAGGACAATTAAAAAAAAGGTAACAGCATTAAACCACTTTTTTTTTGAAATGGAATATTTTTCTTAATTTCTTCGTATACTGTACAGAGCCTATCTCTCCTATGATGCTATCAGTCCAATATTACGAGAGAAGCGAAAAAAATGTCCATAGAATTTCGCCCAATGGGGGAAAAGGAGGGAAAAAAAATTATCAAGACTGGCTTGTCTCAAGGTCCTTTAGAGAGAGAGGTTCCCAGCATCCTGGGTTGGGTGTTGGTCAGCGATTAGATCACTCGGTAAATGAACGGAACGCCATCCCAAGCGGTCATGACGATTCTGGAACCTTCTCTCCCCGTTTTGTAACTCCATCCCTCCACACCCTGATAAAACACAAAAGCTACCGAACAGTCCATGCACGTTTTAAAACAGAGAGTTAGATTAACTACTGAAGAAGAATTCACCACGGATAAAAAAGTTACACAAACTTAAAACAAAATACCAAGAAGCGGGTCGGGCTCCTTCTCGAAGGTTCCACCTGAGGTGGGGCCTCGGCCGGCGCCATTTTGTCCAGGGGAATAGAAAAATATCGCCGCGCTTATAAATCGATTTCTCGACGCTAATTATCCGAGATAATATGCATGTTTTAAAAGTGCAAACACTTAGTTTTCTTTTAATAAAAATTTAATTTCAGTACCATGCAACAAGAACTACTGAAAGCCAACAGGCGCCATGATATCTGCAGTCCGCGCTACCACATCAAAGCGACATCGATCAGGATTTTAATTTTATTTATAAAAGGAAAGAAAATCGCTTTGAGAATGTTTTATAATCCACAAGTAAAACGGACGGCAGTCAGAAATCCGTAAATGGCTGACAGAAGGAATTGTTTCGTTAGTTTCGTATAGAAAAATCCACCAGACAGACGTGTCGTTAACCATGTCCTTCCCTTGCCGTCTCTCTCTCTCTCACTCCTGCTCAGCTTCCACACTCGTCCACTGCTGAAGCAACTTACACCACCTCACCCCTCCCTTCCAGAAAAGGCAGGCGTGGCATGATTGACAGGCACCTCCCAGTTGACGGACCCCTGGGATGACCAATAAGAAGCGGAGGAGGCGTGGGGAACCTTTCGACGTCGCCGGGAATCTCTTTCAAATTATCCAATGGTGGACGGGGTGGGAGGCGGGTCCCTCCGTGCAGCCGGGTTTCCTCCTTTCCTCTCCCTTCCCCCCCTACCCCCTCCTTTGCTGAAGAAGAGGAACGAGGGATCGCTAAGCCCGCCTCCCGTGACTGGGCCCTGCGAGCAGATACGGTGGACCCCGTATCTTTTGTCAGGGTGGCCCGCCATTTCCCGGCGAGTTGGGGGATGGGTGTTTGTTGGTTGGTTGGTGGGTGGGGGAGGGGCAGTGGTGGAGGCGCTCAGACTGGGATCAGTGGTGCTGTGCAGGAGCCGGCCCAGCTGCAAACAGAGTCAATTGTCACCTTTTATAAAGAGTGTTTACCTGAGGGAGGGGGGAGGGAAAAAGTCCCAAAATAACAACAGATCTTATTCCTCCCTATTCTCCCATCGGATCGAGTTTTTCCTCCCCCTCCCTCTACTTTAAAGCCCCTATTTGGTAAACTGTGAGCGATATCAACAATCTTCAAACTCCCCCTTCCCCTCCCCCTTTCTCCCCAGCACACCCCCTCTTCCTTTCCCCACCCCCTGCAACGTCAGTCTGAAAGATTCGGTCGGTGTGCTCAGGAAAGTCCGAGGCTCTGTTTTAGGCCTGTCTGATGAACCTCATTCAAGTTTTTGTTTTGTTTGAGGGAGAATAAGCAACACACAAAAAAAAAACACAAGGAAAGAGAGAGGAAAAGAAAGGATCACTAGAAGAGGGGAGAAGGCAGCCCTATTCAGAAACGATTATTGAGACAAAAACTGGTGAGTTTTCCTGTTTATAATCGGGTTGCCAAGGAGTTTCGATGGTTTTTATTGGTGTTACTGATGATGGTGTTTACATGATGAACACTGCGCACTTTAAAAACCTAGGATCATTATAAACTGATTCTCCACATCATTTTCCATTTGAATCTTAGTATACGTATTTAAGAGATAGGTAAGTAGATAAATATGTGGATTTCTGTAGACCTATTCCACTTAATGTAACTTAGTCATCTCTGGCATTTTCTTCATTAGAATAACATAACAAGAAAAGCCAGAGAGATTGGGCTCCCATGGTAGAATTGCAGCTGGGAGGCATTACCCAATCCTGGAGTCTGCTCAGCTATTCTCTCCCCCTCAAAAAGTCGTCTGCATTCAACGTACTTAATTACCATAATGCTAAAATTCTTAACAACTATATGAAAGTATTATAATGCAGGATTAGCTAAGCATTTTTCAAACGTCGGATCATGAAAACATATTTCAAAGTTCTGTTGTTTCACAAATATTTAGAAAATAAGATGGAACGTTTTGGAAATTGGTATTCTACAACGCCCAAATCAGATTATGGAATATAGTTATTTTGGTCTCCTACTTGCAAAGTCAATGATGCTCCACTAATAAAGTGGACTTTTTAAAACAAAAGATTTCTAATGCTAGATTTTATTGTGGACATCTATACGAATAGTTGTTCAATAATAATTATTTATTAGATAGGAGTCAAACAAAACAGAATTTCTGTCCCTTTTAACGAAAACATGTAGTGCAAGAGGATATGGCCTCTTTGAACCACATGGTCCAGGGACGAATCGTGTTGCATATGGTGTTTGCTTTAGTTAGTCTGCATAGGGTTTATTTTATTATAGAACCTCTCGACAAAATCGAAGTTAGTTTTTATCAGGATCCATTACAGAATGGATGTCCTATTGGGACGATAAGAAGGTGTGAAGTTGAAAATATATTTGGTTGTGCTGAAAATGAAAATGCTTTGTTTCTTTTAGTCGCACGGATGAGACACCGGTCATAAATCCATAACCATGTATTAATAGAATTTAAATGTTAGATTTGGGATACTTTGTGTATTTATCAATTTGCATAAACTTAAGACGTTAAATTTTAAGTTAAACATCCTCTTTTCTGCGTTCATAAGTTTGTGAATCGTTAACTCTTTAAACTATTAAAAAAAAACTTAGGTCGCAAGTCATAAGTAACATATCCATACTTTGTAATAAAGTGTATTTGTGATGTGATGGTGGTCCTATATGTTCCTTGTAACTGTTTCTATGAGGCCTCGCAGTAAAAGGATGTAAATTCAACGCTTCACCGCATCACCAGGAAGCCAGATCTTGTGTCTTAAAAGAACGATCTCCAGACCAAGAAGCTTGATTGCTGTTCCTAACTTTGTGTCAAAAAATGCTTTGAACACAAATCTTGAGCAGTAAACTATATAATAACTTCATTTTCTTGCCATGTAAAATAATCCTGATTATCCATAACCATAAACTCTGACCCAGTTATTTACCCTTAAATCTGCACAGAGGTAACTTGTGCTGTGGGTGTGTGTATGTGTATGTGTGTGTGTGTGTGTGAGAGCGAGAGAAGGGGGTGGGGGAAGGGTTGGTAGCCTGCTCTTACTGTGTGTTGGTTTTGTCTGAAGGTTTTTTAAGGTTGGTCTTCGAATGGTTATTTGAAAGTTATTTGGTTTTAATATCGAATTTTTTGGAAATTGTTTCTGTAATAATCGAAAGGTAAGAATGTACATTAACATGAGGGGTTTACTGTGGAACCGTGCCTATTTTTACAGTAAATAATCAAGATCTATGAAAGATTTCGATTAATTTTATAATTATTTCTTGTATTAACTTCCAAAGCTATATCTGAGGTGCAGTTTTATTTAAACTAATTTTAATTAATATTAACGGTCGAGAAAGTATAAAATCAATGATCAGGACTTTGCGTTGTAATCACAGAATTCACAAAGAGAGGAAACAGGTTTGTGTTGTGATCTTTTAGAAGAACTGGTTATTAATTCGGGAGAATCCTGCTCTCTACTGAAATAAGCTTGCTAAATTCGGCGTGAGTGGAAATTGAGTCTGAGGCTTTGAAGTTGGGGCAAGGCCTGGTATGTCTGGGAAGCTAGGACAGCACTTCAGACAGGGGCCTCAGTCAAATATTTGGCGCGGAACAGTCGAAACAGCTCTTGCATTGCCCTTCGGTTTCCTTAGATAAGGGTGGTAAAAGTGGTTTTGTTTCGCTTATTTTTCTATATAGAGGTCAGTGGTGAATTCTCCCATATTGTATTTTTAATGAGAAAGGGGGAGGGGTAGAGTAACCACGTACTGCATACTGAAATAGAAATGCTCCGTATATTGAATAAAATTACCTGACTGTAGCTCATTTGAACTATCTAAGAAATATATCGTTAAGTTTTAAGATTATTGTTCAGAAACTAGTAATTAATTTTCATAAGAACGAGTCCGAGAATTCCTGTACAAGAAGAATCAAGGGTGGGGGAGGGGACTGGTTTTTAAATCCAGTTTCATCAGTCCCAGCACTTGGATACATATAGGGCTTCAAATGTTGACGTTATCAAAAATGTTTGTGTGCTGATTGCACGATTTGAGTAGGGGACATTTTAGAGGCATAAATGACCTGAACTTTAAAGAGTTAATTGTTCTTTATAAGTAGCAGTTCTGTGTTGCAGTTTTGCTTGCAGCTTTTCGAACCTGGCTTGTAAAACAGAAGCTTTCAATCCGAACAGGATTACGAAAGTTAATAAGATTCCTATTTGATACAGTGCTAGCAATAGTACGGATTGTTCACGAACCCATAATGGACAATATGCTCAATTTGGTCAGTTTTTGCGTCCCATCAATGATTTGGATAAATGTTTTAAATTCTTTAAAGTTATCACACACCCTGATATTTAAATCGCTTATTCATAAATTTTTCGGAAATGTTAGTGTTCTTGGCCGCTTTGACTCAGCCCCAACTAAAACAAAATGAAATTGGAAGAGAGATTGGGTCTAATCTGACTCAGATGCATTCTCTAACCTGTATGTGCTTCAAAATATAGGTTGCAATTGTTAACGTTTGGTAATCTAGCTATTATTTATTAATGATTTGTTAAATTTCTGGATGACGAGAAAGTGTGGAAGCTAAGTGAATGGCTTTGCGGCTACGGGACAATCCCTGTAGTTAGTTCGATTGTGTTGCAGTTTAGAATGTGGGGGGAGGGGAAGGCAGCGCTTGTTGTAGAGCGCCACTTCATTGATACACTGTAGTGAATGTTGCGATGCATTTCTTCCAGTCACGGGTTGAATTTGCTCCCAGGACTGAAATATTTTGGCAGATTTGCATGGTTTAGGCGGTGTTTTATGGTGTTAGGAAATCGATTCGAATGTGTAATTAATCATTATCGTTGAAATATTTTTGAAATGTGTTTCTGAAAATGTTTTATTCGTTTCCTTTGTGAGTTGTTAACGCTTACGATGAGCGCGTGACATGTCGATATATACACGAAAGAAAATACATTTTATTTAAATTCCACAAGTAAAATAGTTGTGTGGAGGGAATTGGCTAATGCCTCCAGTGAAATTTGATCTTTTCATGAAGTTCCCAAGAATGTTAATAAATAGGCAGATGGGCAACCCCCTTGTTCGTCTGAGTGAAGACTTCGTTTGAATTTTAGGCACGCCAGTAAAACAAACTAACTCCTGATCATTAAGCCTCAAAGATAAATGCATTCCACAAGTTTGCGCACTGTTGCCGTTTCAATATAGAACAATGCGCTAAAACCAAACAAATTAAACACTACGATTTATATTTGGAATTTTAGTGAGCATATTGACGTATCGGACCTTGGACGTAACTTAATACATAATGGTGGATGCCTTCGCTGATGGATAAAAGGCAAATTGCAGTTAATGCTGCGCCCTAAAGAAAATGTTTTATTTTTTGTGAAAATAGGGGAAGAGATTAAAATTGGTCATTATTTAGGTTGCTACATATCGATGCTGTTGTAGGGCAAAGTTTCTCTTGTCACCAGCGGCCCACGTCAAGCCTGGGGCTGGACTGCTTGTTTGCTCAGTTTGAGTTACGCGGATCTTGGCTTTTGGAGCTTGTGATTTGCGCTGATATTTTCATTTTATACTGTTAACGGTTGAAATTTGGTTTTCAATGTATTTGAGTTGATTAAAGTGTTGGATCTTGCAGTTTTAAAATATGAAAAGTTTTATTAAGATTTAATCAGTGACTAAATATTTAAAAGTGAGAGCTGGATGTCAGATTATCATTGCACTGCAATAAACCAGAGTAGGCCTTTTGTTAAAATGGCTGCTATTGTCTGTGACCTGGTTGCAAGGATGGCTTATCTTTTCTTGGTTCTGTAGTTGGCCTTTGTGAAGAACATGGTGAACAACCATGCATATCTACTTAAGTTGATAGTATTTTAGCATTAAATAAATTTTGATAGAAGTTTCTGCCTAAAACTAGCTTCGTATTCTATTGATATTCGTGAAAAAGTTCGGTATTTTGTTGGAAAGTTGAGATTAGATATCGGAGGTACATTCATTCTCCTAAATGCAAGAATTATATGCGTTGTAGTTGTTCTGAGCTTTCTTCAAAACTGTGAAGTCATTATTTTTGTCTGATGCACAGCATAGCGTTTAGTTTAAGAAGGAAGTGGGGGGAAGAGGTAAAATCACAAATGGAATTTTCGGAAATTATACTGCAGTGATGTCCCCTGCCGCTGGCTTTTAATTGCTTTTACATGTTGTAATAACTGCAGTTGCAGCAAAAGGATAATTATCATTGTGGATAGTTTTTCCTTGTGCGTGGAGCATTTCCGATTGAATGTTAATTTAATGGATAAAGTCTGGGACCAGAGACTTGGGCGCAGTTTCAAAGACTACAGAGCATTTTTGCCAAGAGGCAGGGCCAGCACCTCCACGGCTAATATGTAACCTAAACACAAGGCAGCCATTTTCTGAATTTCAAATCACAAAAGATCACATCAAGACTAGATTTTTAAAAATAGGATCTTTTGAAATGTGTCTAATTTTAATTGCAGGGCTAAACTTAAAAACATGGAGCAAGCCAAACTATTGCTGGTAAATTTATTTAATAGCAAGGTTAATGAAGATGGTACAGATGGAAAGGTTTCTAATGGTAAAAAATTGCCGGTAGGCAGGACGTTGAGAAATTACTTCAATAGGGAAGGAAGACCTTTCATGAGTTTAATCTTTTGTATCCTGTCGTGCTGACAAACGGTAGTTGTACAGTTAGGTAATTACTGTAGTTCAAGTTGCACTACCTTTAATCTTTTTAAGGATTCGTGAAAGATATGGAAATGAAGCTGTGGCCCCGTTTTCTTAAGGAGTGGGAGTGATCCCAATACGAATTACCCCTTTTAGACGGCCTGGCTTTCGATTTGCTCCAAAAAACTTGTGATACATATCATAAATGTTAAGAAAAATCAATCAATTTAACAGAGACAACTTAGATCAATCACATACGACTTTATTTTCTGTTTTGGGCATATAACTTCCAATTTAGTCTTTTTTAAACATGGGTTCGAGTGATACTGAAACACCGGAAGTCGTTGCTGAAATACTGGAATGCTTTCTCCACGTATTCAAATAAGACCAACAACCTCTCCTTTTTTGGACAACTTAATACTTGAAGATCTTTTAAGATGTTTGTCTCGAAACGACTCTGCGAGGTTCACGTGTTGCGAAGTGTGAAAGAGTATCTTTTAAAATCGCAGTCGGTTGCAAATGGAAGAGTCATTTTAAGGTTTGTTGTTGCCAGAGGTGTGGGTTCGCCTGTGGCAGATTGCCCGCCACCGCCCACCAGTCATGCCTGTCCAATATTTGATCGAAATACTTTACTAGATGTGATTGAGGGACTTTATGAAGCGAAGCAACACAGGCCGACAGAGGGAAAAATAAAAGCCGTAATTTCAAAGGCCTGCTAAATTAAATCGGGATGTCTTGACTATTATTAGCTCGAGTCCTGGTCTCTAATGATCTTAAAAAATCATTAAGAAATTCAAGGGACAGAATGGGTACCGTGTTAGGGACGCCATTTTTGACAGGGATCTGTGCACGTACCAAGAGTAGTTAAACAAAATAAAATCCCACCTCACAATATGCTTTTTGTACACAACAAAAATCGAGGAAGTAATGGGGCGGGCGGGGGAAGAGAGAAGAGGAGCGCTGTTCATGTCTCGGATTTACCAGTCTGATGCAAGTCTGTTGTGATATTGCGACTAAGGAAAGGAATGCAGGGTGTGCGATTGTTCAAAAAGCCTGTGCCTGGAGGTGGATTAATGCGCTCCAAGCGATTGCATCATTCCCGCTCCCAATGGGGCCCCTCAAACCTTTTCCAGCTGAAAAGTAGCCAAAAATAAACCAATTATGAAACTGCACAAACACAGGCTGCTGATCCTATTGTATATAAAGGAACTGTAGTCAACAGTGCCCCCTTCAATGCATTTATTAAAAACATTTGATACTGGTCAGGTTTAACTGCATATTTTTTTTAAAAAGTCAACAACTAATTAAATATATACTATCCTAGCTGTTGTAATTTACCATGATGTTATTAGTCTGACGGCGCATTCATACGCTATCCATCGAAGGCGAAGAGATTCGCTCCAGTTTGGAGAGACAGACCCGTGCTTGCACTTCCCAAACACAAGCTGAGTTGGTAGAGAATCATTAACACTCTGACAGGAGGTTGTTTGTGCGGTGACGTTACGACACATGCGCAAAAAGATCGCCAGTTACTTTTGTCACTATTAACTCTGTTTCTAAAATTCTTCCAGAGAGGAATGACTAGTTGTGTGGTGGGTGAACTTAGACTCTTCGCTCCCAGCCCGCCTTTTCTTCCCATGTCTTCAACAGCAGAAGATGAGATAACAAGGTGTAGAGCTGGATGAACACAGCAGGCCAAGCAGCATCAGAGGAGTGGGAAGGCTGACGTTTCGGGCCTAGACCCTTTTTCAGAAGCTTTTTTACTTGGTGAGCGGTTAAGATCTGGAATGCATTCCTGAGCATGTGATGGAGACAGATTTCATCAAAATCTTCAAAAGAATTAAATAATTATTTGAAAAGAAATTTTTTCTGAAGAAGGGTCTAGGCCCGAAACGTCAGCTTTCCTGCACCTCTGATGCTGCTTGGCCTGCTGTGTTCATCCAGCTCTACATCTTGTTATCTCAGATTCTCCAGCATCTGCCGTTCCTACTATCTCTTCAACAGCAGAAACTGCTTTATACAGTATATATGATTTAACGTTGATTATTCCTGTGTGCAGGCGTCTTCACAGTCAAGAATGGATGTTGTAATTGACCAAGTTTACAGAGCCTCTTTAGAGTTCCTTGAGGCAGAAAACACTAACGCATGGTGTGAGACTGCATCCTTGAAGAGTGCAGGAAATCTAGACTAGAGTTAAAACAATGAGTTCCTAAAACGGTTCAAATATTTCTTTCCACCTCTGCCATTGCACACCATTCCCAGTCCCAAATGAAATGACCATTGAGGTAACCTGGATAAATGACTACTGTGAGATCTGTTACAGCAGTCAAAATCAAATCCCGGTATGTATTTTTTTAAAAAAAGATTCCCTCCACCTTTCCAGATAATACGATACTTTTTCCCCAAATGTCTCAATATTTTCAACAGTTTCCATTATTGCATTCTTAATTAGAAGAATTATATGTATGTGTCCATACACATCAGTTTTTAATCAATAAAAATCTTGCAATTGAGCAAACCTGTACCAAACTCTGTTTGCCCTCAGCTGATTCATGTCTTATGCTGGTTAGCACGTTTTAAGGAGATTACAAAGATACTGGTGAGGGTGCATAAAAGATCTGCAAATAGTTTCAGGAACTTCAATTACAGTGATACGTTGGAAAAGCTGAGGCCGAAGGGTTGGGTATTCAAAATCATTAGGGACTTGAGCATGGTAGGTAAGGAGAAACTTTATATTGGTAGACACTTTTGCCAATTTCCTTAAATGTAATGATGACATGAGGAAAAGCTTTTTTACTTGGTGAGCAGTTATGATCTGGAATGCATTCCTGAGCATGTGATAGAGACAGATTTAATTAAAACCTTCCAAAGAATTAAATAATTATCTGAAGAGAAAACATTGTTATAGGAAGGTTATAGGAAGAAGGTGACAGTGCGGAGAGTGGAACTAGGTGAGTTTGTGCAGATATTCAAGGCAAATGTTTGTCTCTTGTGCTGTAACAATTCTCTATTTCTATAATAATATGTTGGTCAGGTTGGAGAAGAAAGAATAATAAAGAAACATCAGGTGTTGTCTGACACGGTCACTTTGAATTTCAGAAGTTATATTTTGCAGGGAAAATTGACCAAGCCGAAAGGCTCATTGTTTTGAGGACTTGGGAAAGAATGAATTTGAGGTGATTTTTGGGATATGTCTGGATTATAATATATGAAGGAATGAGAACATATTGTTACTTTTGATGTTTCAGAAGAGTGAGAGGTAATTTTAGTGGGGCGCTGATCATAAACGCTTATTTTAAAAACGTTATTTGATGGTTTAATGATTAGAAATGAGAGAATCTATTAAACAGGTAGTTTTTACTTGTACCCATTCAATGCTGTTATAATGGCTTTGCCCAGATGCATAAATATTCAAAGGCTGGTCTAAGACACCCATTTTGCATTGGATGCTAATATCTTTGGAATTTTTGTGTTGGAATCTGTTTCTGAATTTTTTTAAAAAGAACTCCTACTAAGTTTCTTTTTTTACGTATTTAACAAAATATTGTGCCTATCACACGCATGACATTCCTGCTAATGTATGTATTGGGATTTTACAATAGCCTTAAGAAATAATATCTCTACATTGAATCGTCTGTAGAGCTCCAACAGTTGAATTCATCATTGAAGTTTTGTTTTATAGGATACAACTTAATAATTGGTCTGATATGTGTGGATTATAAATGAATTAATCTCTGATCTCAAAACAATATTTTAATGTTCTACTTTTTGGAGGTAAAATGTCTCGAATTAAGCTGTTAAATTTTTGGTCCTCTCATCATACAATTTTTTAGCATTGGCTACTGTCAAGTGTACTGTGAAAAGTAAAACTGAAACTCCTCTTACTCTGTGCATCCTATGATGTACAGGTCTTGCGCAATCTGAACTTTAAATCTGATTGGCTAGCAAAAGACTGCAAAAGTGGATGCTTGAGCGTGCTGCCAGTACTTCATTCCAGAATGTTTAGCTCTGGGTTGTATCTGGCTACATGAGACATGTCAAGCATCAGTGGTACTAGCATGGATCTTAGTAGTACAACAGTAATTTGAAATTTCAGCAACAACATTTGGGGCGACATGGTGGCTCCGTGGTTAGCACTGCTGCCTCACGGTGCCAGAGACCCAGGTTCGATTCCACCCTTGGGCGACTGTCTGTGTTGAGTTTGCACATTCTCTCTGTGTCAGCATGGGTTTCCTCTGGGTGCTCCAGTTTCCTCCCACAGTCCAAAAATGTGTAGGCTAGGTGGACTGGCTGTGCTAAATAGCCTGTAGTGTTCAACGATGCCTAGATTAGGTGGGTAATAGGGGGATGGGTCCGGGTGGGATGCTCTGAGGGTTGGTGTGGACTTGTTGGGCCAAAGGGCCTGTTTCCACACTGTAGGGATTCCATATACTCTAACGTTAAGGAGAAGCCTCTTTCTTTAGAAAAGGGTATTTTTGGTTATCAGATGAGTGAATTCAGTAAATTTGCATGGCAGTTTGTTATAATCCTAGTTGATATTATTACTGGACAAGTCTGATCCCAGACTGAAGTCTGTCTTGACGGATTTTTTTTTATTTTAATGACTTTTTTAATGACTTTAATGACTATTTTAATGACATTACTGAAACACAAGCATGCAATTGTCCCGATTTCAATTTAACAATAAACTAGAAGTTTATCACATAAGTGAAAGATAAGTTGAATAAACCAAACAATACAGCACTGGAACAGGCCCTTCGACCCACAAAGTCTGCGCCGTTAAAGAAATACATGGTAGTGTAAAGACCTATTAATACCAAAAGCACTTTTTTTTTAAACAGTACTCTCACATGATAGAATTCCTTCCCTTCCACATGTATAATATTTGCTTCAATTGTGACCTCAAGAAAATTCTTGAGAATCTGATAGCCTCGAGTTGAAGCCTTCATATAACTGAGCTTAGACTCTGTCAGCTTGAAATAACCCCTTCATAGTTTTAATAAAACACTGATGGTCTGGAAGTTTTCAAGTAAACTCTTTACACAGAGCTAACCTATTTCAAAACAGTCATAAAAAATCTCCCTTTCCCTGTTTTATGCATCCAGCTTCAGCCAAGACTTCTGCAAACTGCCTCAAGCTGAAACTAACAAGCTTTGTTCCAAGCTATGGGTGTTCCCCCAAGCCTCAAAATATTACAGAATCATCAATCCGAAAGCCTAAGGCATTACACTGTTTATTTTGTACTCTGGTAAACTCTTCTAATGTAAACAAATTCCCATTAGCCTTCTCCAGCTATGTCCCTGATAAAAGATACCGTGGTTGCAGAAATACCTGGAACTAAATTACACAACCCCTTCAGAAATACAGAAACCCACAAGCCACTAGTTCAAAATCAAACAATCCAAAATTAATTGTATTAAAATATAAATTTCACCCTTTATATTACAAGTTACTGTTGTATTTGAGAGGTTAGCACCCAGCAATAAAACTACCCTTCAAAATCTATTTAAATGCCATTATTAGTTTTAGTACAATAGATGAGTAGTTGTGTGGCACCATAGGAAACTGGGTTATTCCTGTAAAGATAATGGGTAAGTCAATAATTTTCCTGATGGTTAACCCTGGATTTTAACACATACAGAATTCTGTCCCTATCTGTCAATATTTATTTTTATATTTAAAAAAAAGGCCAAAATCATTAACTAAGTGTATTTGTCTCTTCAACTAATAAAGATTGTTTGTATGTAACAACTGAAGATTCTGTAGTTTTGACACAAACAGGATGTTTTGCTTGTCCATGCACTCATCAGTCTTGATGAGGTCTGCCAACTTGGTTATATCCCTGACCAACTAGCTCTCTAGTAGGATTTGCCACAAAAAGCTTCTTTCTCTTAATTTTATACCGAGCTTAGTAGGCTAACATTAATTACAGAGGCAGTATCAGTGCCATATTTTCCAATTAAGCCCAACCAGTCCACGCTGTTGTTTATGATCCACTTGAGCCTTCTCTCATCTTTCCTTGTTTAAATTCACTATCATAACCCTCTGTTCCCTTCACGTATGCTTGCCCAGCTTCCCCTTAACTGCAACCATATTATTTGCTTCAGCTACTCCCTATATGCTGCAATTTATTAAACTGCACTGAAATTAATTCCAACATTGACTGTAGGAGCTGCGGAACACTGAAGTTGCATACAGTGACGAATAGGTTCTAACTCTTATTTTTTTCCGATGTGTGCTGTTATTTGCTTATTACTTGTCAAGCCACAGAAGCACAAGTTTGCAAATGCAACTTGTTACCATTAAGAACAGATGTGGACAGTTGTTAAAAATGTCGGATAATGTGGACAAAACTGAAGGTGTACAGAATTTTGAGAGTCCATCTTGGTAGATGATTCATTAGTTTACAAAATTTTGACTTTACTGCTGTTTCTTATGAACACTTGTCAATATTTACAATCCAGACCTGCTGTGTAAAGCACAAGTTGCTATGTTAACTCAGATTATTTAAATCATTATTTTGATCTTGTTAGTATTGAATCATTTTTATTTCCAAATGCCACACAGTTTTGTATACATCGAGATAAACCAAACTGTGGGGAAAAGGGAGCAGAGGAAGGAATGAATGTAGGAAATGATAGACAGACAATGACAGGAAGGGACAGAGAATACAAACCTAAGAGCAAATCAGCAGATAACATGAGGTTACAAAA